TAGGTCTGTTTATCTGATTCACTGTGAAGAAAGGCAGTGGTAACATCCATTTGTTTCATTTCCCAATCATTATGGGCAACTAGGGCAAGCATCATCCTAATTGTGGTGAATTCTACTACTGGAGCAAAAATTTCAGCATAGTCTACCCCTTCTTTTTTAGTGAAACCTTTAGCAACTAACCTAGCCTTAAACCTAATGTCGTTAGGTTCCTCTTTGACCTTGAAAAGTCATTTGCACTCAACTACAGAACAATTAGGAGTCCTAGGAACTAGGGTCCACGTTTTATTCAACTTAAGGAAATCTATTTCACTTTGCATAGCACTAAGCCAATTTTTAGATTCTCTAGAGACAAAGGCTTCCTGGTAGGTTTTAGGTTCATTCACCTCAAGAGTTTCAAAAATAGAGAATGCAAACAAGGAAGTATCATACAGATGAAAAACATAATCAGTCATGGTATTAGAAATCTTCCTTATGTTTCTTCTAGTCCGATCTCTAGTTAACTGATAGTCTTCAAGACCCTGACTATCAGTAGCAGTTTCATAATTATCATGAGTAGAGTCATTACCAGCAAACATATCATGCATACTTTCATCATTATTATTAAGTCCATTGGACTGCTCCACCTCACTGGAGGTGGTGGAGGTGTCATGCATAGTGTTGGTCAAGTCAGGAGTAACAGACTCATTAAACAGAGAGGGGTAGTAGTAGTCTGCATAGGCTCCACCTCACTGGGAGTGGTGCCATCAGAACTCAGTTCAGGGTCAATCACATTTTTCAATAAGAAAGGAAAAACAACTTCATTAAACACAACATTTCTACTTATTATGACCTTAAAACCAATCTGATTTCTATCCCAGATCCTATACCCTTTTACCCATTCAGGATAACTTAAGAAAACACACATTTTGGACCTAGGATCCAGTTTTGTCAGTCTATTGGTGTACATAGGCAACACACCCAAACACCTTTAAGTTTGATAGGTCAAGGGGTTTCTTAGAGAAGACAAACTCAGGGTATTTACCCTCTAAGGGTACAGAAGGAGACCTATTGATTAAGTAGGTGGCAGTGTTGACAGCTTCTCCCCAAAACTTCTTGGGAAGGCCAGAAGTAGCAAGCATACTTCTGACTTTGTCAAGGAGGGTCCTATTCATTCTTTCAGCCAGACCATTCTGTTGGGGAGTATAGGGCACAATTTTGTGTCTCCTAATCCCACACTCAGCACACAACTTATATGTATCCTTATTACAGAATTCTAACCCATTGTCAGTTCGAAGGGTTTTAACCTTACATCCAGTTTGATTTTCTACCATAATTTTCCGTTCTTTAAACCTAACATACACATCAGATTTATGTTCTAACAAACAGACCCAAATTTTTCTAGAAGTCATCAATTATGGACAGAAAGTACCTCCTACCCCCATGGGTAGGGACACTGGAAGGACCTCATACATCAACATGTATATATTCAAGGACAGCTTTGGATTTAGGCTCACCAGGGTAGCTAGAGGTAGGAAACTAAACCCTATGTTGTTTACCTAAGACACAACCTTCACAGAATGGTACAGGTGACACCAAGTCATTTCCAAAACACCCATTTTGTGCAAAATATTTAATCCTTTATTGCTCATGTGACCAAGTCTTTGGTGCCAAAGCACAGACTTGGCACTAAGTACAGCATTAGCCTTTTCAGAAAAAGGTTTAGCATGAACAACATACGGGTTATTTTGTTTCAAAGCTTTGAATAAAACAAGGGAGTTTTTCAAAATTTTCATACACCCATTCCCTCATTTTCCCTCAAGACCACGTTCTTCAAAAGCAGAGACTGAAAACAGGTTATGCCTTAAATCAGGGACATGCCTAACATTTTAAATTTGAAAAACAGTTCCATTTTCAAATTCCAGACAGATGTCACCAATACCATGGACCTTACACCTTTTACTATCAGCTAGGGAAACAAAACTAGTTTCACACAAGTTATAGGAGGAGAATAGATTCCTAAAAAGGGTCATATGGTAGGTACAACCAGAGTCAATTAATCATTCAGTTTTAGTCAAACTATTGAGCACAGACTTAGCTTGGTCACAGACCATAAAAATTTCATCTTCTACATTCTTATTGGTCACAACATTAGCCTGGTCATTTCTTTTAGGTTGGGTGCAGTCTTTTATGAAATGTCCTGGGTTACCACAGTTATAACAGACTCTTTTCCTAGACTTAGACCTCTTTTACCAGGTTGTCTATTGTTTTTATCCTGGTTGTCCTTTTTAGGGTGTCTAGACTTGCTTTTGGACCTCCCTCTAACAAACAAAGCTTCCCCAGATTCCCTATGATGACTCTTAGATTGTTTTAAGTCCAGTTCTTTACTTCTTAGGCCATTAATAACAATATCTAGGGTTATGTCACCCCTCCCATACTTAATGGCTGACTTAACATCATTATAGGAATCATGTATAACATTGAGTAAAACTATAGCAGTGTAGTCATATATATGTTTATCCCCAGTCTGCTTAATGTTTTGGATTAGCTTATTAAAAGCATCTAGGTTTTCATCAATATCTTTTGTTAGGTCAAGTCTGAACCTAAAAAACTTATCCAACAAAAATAGTCTGCCAGGAAGGGAAGTATCAGTATATAGAGACTCAAGTTTGTCCCAGAGGGCTTTAGCAGACTCAATTACTCCAACCTTTATAAGAACAGAGTCAGACATATTTAAGTATATAGTTAAGCAGGTTGTTTCATTCATTTCAACTTTTTTAGGTTTGTCCTCAATTTCTAAGTATTGTTTAGTAACAGCTCTATACACTTTTTGTTGAATTCACACACATTTTATCTTCTGTTTCCAAATATCAAAGTCAGTCTTACCATTAAAAGGCATCATACCATATAGATTTGAAGCCATGATAACAGTCAACACACTAAGCTGCTGAGATACAGGTAATATAAAGGCTAACCCTAATGGTTTGGGCCGCGGACTAAGTGACCACGCAGTTCCGGGGCCACTGAAGTGGCTGACATGGAATCACTTAGCCCTAACCTCAGGTGCCTTAGCCAATTACGGGTTAGAAGCCACACTATTACCAGAACTCAACAACTAGAACAGAAATAGACAAGACTGACTTGAGCAGAAAGACAAAAAAACAATTACAACCGTAATAGGGCAAGATACAACAATACAGGGAGAGGTCCTGAGTAAATAACACAGAGGGGTAGCAAGTTCACAACACACAGAAAATCAATTCAGTAAGCCAATAAGAGTTCACAGGTAATCATCGGCCAAGTCGACACAGATTGAACCACTCATGCACAATCTTAACACCACCTAGGGTTTCTACAACTCCGTGTTAACAGAAACTGTACATGCAGAGGTTGATCTAGGGTTTCTACTCGGGAGACTGAAACCTAGGGTTACAGATCTACCCATGCATCACAGAAGCTGGTGGCATTCCGGCAGCCCAAGGGTTAGGGTTTAAACTGTTATACCTGAGCGGGTGTCTAGGAGAGACCACCCGACTTACCAATTTCGATGAGGCTCCAGTCGTTGCCGGTGTGGGAGTTTTCCGGCGAGCTTCCGGTGTCAGCGAGAGGCAGCAAGCATCCAGGCTATGATACCACTATTGAGATTCAGGACCGGCTCAGACCTCAATCACCAAAGCCCAAGGGCTTGCTCACATTCACCACCAAGGTTACAAAGAAGGGAAACTGAAGGGCAATAATCAACTACCCTCACTCACAGAACCCAAGCCCCAACCCAGAAGCCCCATCGGAGAAGAAACCAGAGTGAAGACCCCCCAAAGCAACCCAAAAGCGTCACCGGAGTATAGCCGGAGCTAAAGCTCATGTGAGGCTGGTACTCTCTCACTCTAGTTCTAGGGTAACAGTCTGAGAGACTCATCGGATAGAGAGAAGGAGGAGCGGAAGAAATAGAGGGATCGAGAAGCAACCAGACAAATATATCAAAGGGCCACAATAGTCACGGGTTGGGTAGAATACAAATAGGGGGAGTGGACTTGATCGGGTAGGCAGCCCAATTGAGCCAGACAAATTAAATAGGAGACCAACTCCTTAAATGTGGTGGACCAAGAACAATAAATGGGATGGCCTAGATGGGTGTGAGGTGGACCAATACCAACAACAACTATTAATTTAATCATTTAGTCTGTAGTTGTGTACATAAATAAATTGATTAAAAGAAGTTGGTTACTTTATGGATTTGACAATTTGTGATATATAGAAAAATGATTTAGATGTATATCATTTAGTTGTGAATATGACCTTTTGAACTTTTAATAGTTGAGCTTTTACATTGATACTTTAGTCTTGTGTAGTGGCTCTAATTAATTTTTCTCTTTAAAATGGTTATTTGAATAGTTGCGTGTTTTTGGTCAAATTTGGACTGAGCCTCAAAATTGTTGCAGACAACTCTGGTTATAAACAACTAAACATTGTGATGGCCATGCTCATATTTGTTCAGACTTGTCATTTTATTAGTTCAATTTTATTATTAGTAGTATGAAAAATGGTTAATGTGCACGTTTTTTGTGTACACCTTTGACACACTTGTCTGTCTACGTAGACAAGGTTGTTTGTATTACTATAGGAGGGAAACCTACCCCCTTAAATGTTTGGCTTGGTAAAGTAACAAAAGTAAATAAAAGTAAATTAAAGTATCATGACGGTGATAATTATGTGAAAGTATAGCACACAAACTAATTTTAGGCCTAAAATGGAGAAGAAAAATTCAACTATTGAGAATGTCAAAAGCACGAGAACATAACCAAATTGGTTTAGCTGGCGAGCTAGCTGAAATGTCATATAATAACATCATCAAAAGAGCATGTAATAGTAAAGTAGTACAAAAACAAAGATACACGTATACAATTAATGTCTTTTGTAGTGTAAATCATGCATGCATGCTCTTTAGATGCCTTTACCAAATCAAAAACTATATCACTATTCATTAGATATTTGCTTGTATATATAGTATCATACTTTTAATTAGACGTACTTTTTCAATAATATTGTTGTTTAGAGAATAAAATTTTATAAGTTGGATCAGTCCAAAGAATGGTGGGTGCAAGAAGCCAAATAGGCAACCGACATGTTCACAAAATCCAAAAAGATAGAATGATGGAACTCATAAAATCTGCAACTGCTTCTGCGGTGAATCAAGGGCATGGACAGAAGTCCTTATATGTACTAGACTTGGGGGCTCTTGATAGGGCTATGGATAAATGGGAACTTTGTTTATCCCAAGTTAAGCCCTTCTATGCTGTGAAGTGCAATAGTGATCCAGCTTTTCTTGCTGCCCTTGCCATGTTGGGCGCCAATTTCGACTGCGCTAGTCAAGGGGAGATGTAGGCGGTTCTCCGACTCGGCATCCGCCTAGATCGTATCATTTACGCCAACCCCTGTAAGGCCGCTGCACATATTGAGTATGCGGCGGCCATTGGGGTAAACCTCGCCATCTTTGACTCCATGATGGAGCTTGAGAAGATGAAGAAGTGGCACCCCAAATGCAACCTCTTGTTGAGGATCAAGGCCCCGAATGACGGCCATGGCTCGCTCCGACCGCTCGATAAAAAATTCGGGGCCTTGCCGGAGGAAGTCGAGCTGCTACTCCAATATGCGGTTGTAGCTGGGTTCCGGGTCGTCGAAGTCTCGTTCCACGTTGGGTCTATAGCACAAGACCCGATCATCTACCGCCACGCCATTGCAGCCGCGAGGGCGGTGTTTGACATGGCGGCTAAGCTCCAGATGCCAGCCATGCGCATACTTAACATCGAGGGGTGGTTTTAGGGCGGGAACACAACTATTCGAACACATTTCTAACACAATAAACAGTGCAATTCGAGATTATTTCCCTAAAGATATCCCAATTGTCATCGCCGAGCCAGGAAGGTACTACTATCTTCATCCAAAATTATTTGCAAATTTAACTTTTCTTGGTCAAACAGTTCCATTTTATTTGCTTAATTAGGATTCTAATTTTTATTTATATTCTAATTTGGAGATTACAATTTTGAAAAGATTTTAATGTAGTTTCTGAATATATAAATTTTAATTATTAAAAATTGAATTAATTATTGATATGGGAGGATTGACTTTTATTATCGGTTGACCAATTTTTTTGACTTTGCAAAACAATTTGGGACGAAGGGAGTATTATTAATTTGGATAAATAAATACACAATTCTGTACTTTTATATGCCAACAACAAAGACTTCCTCGTGAAATTTGGTATGATTGAATTGCTAGTTTGATATGGCGTCACAAATGATAATGATACGGCGGAGTATGATACTTGTCTCGTCACACATTTTTCTTTTTGTTGTTTATAGAAAAACTAACAAACACTTTTCTCAATAATATATATTCAATCATTTTTTAGCTTTTCTAGATTATATCAATATACCGCCTCACATAATTTCTTTCCTTTTCTCTTTTGGGGAAGTGTGCCCATTTTTTTCTCATTTCATTAACATTTTCATTTTATTTTTCAAAGGGAATAGACAAATTATATTAATTTGAATAATCGTTTGTAGTTACAATTAGTCAGTAACTCAAAATCCACAAATTAACTTTCATTAAACTCATTTAGACTCAAAAAATACTCACTATCATATTTTAAGGACACTTCTAAACAATCAAAGAAAAGGCACAAATCCCTAACCATAAAATGGGAAACATAGACACTTAAGTATTTACTATTATGTACCATCGTATAATGCATGAAGTATTACCTCCGTCTCGTTGAAAGGTTCTCATAGCAAAACGACACGATTATTTAGACAATAATTAAATAAAGTACTTCGAGTATATTTTAAGAAATAATTTTAATAGGTGTATATATATATATATTATAATGTAGTTAGTATTGATAACTATGATGTTATAAATGTATTATTTTTAATATTTAATGATTAATTTGTCACTTTAGATTGTTAATTATTTCTTAAAATGGAAATGAGAACCTTTATATGAGATGTCCAAAAAAAGAAAGTGTTAACCTTCTAATGAAACAGAGGGACCTTTATACTTTTACACTCAATTCTTGCGTTCACTTCAGCCTATACTCCAGCTTCTGGTTTACAAATTAATTGTCCTTTTCTTTAAAACTTAGTGCTATTAAGGTAGTTAGGAATTGATTCTACTTCTTTTTAAAAACAAAAGTATAATCAGAATCAGAATTTCAGAATTTCTTAACTTCTAAAAAACTATTTCTGCAAGCAATTTGAAGCATCTGGAAATACTTATACACTTTACGTCCAAACACTCCAATATCTTACCTGCGTCACACTCAACCAAAAAGTAGATCCAAACACCTCATTAGTTTTAGAGCCCGTTTGGTGACCCTTTTTTCGACTTATCAAGCTTATCATTCAACTTTTTTACAAACACGTAATTCTTGATTTCGCTCGCTGAAGTTTGTAATAAGCAAAAAAACCATTTCTGCAAGCAATTTGAAGCATCTGGAAATACTTATACACTTTACGTCCAAACACTCCAATATCATTTTAGCTTTTTTTCATATAATTTTTTACTTAGTTTATTGATAACAAATAGTTTTTTTTTCATGAATCAGCCAATACAACCACTTCAGCCAGAACTTCATAAATTTCAGCTGAATAAGCCAATTCAGCCAATTTTGATCTTACCAAACGAGCTCTCAGTTGTAAGTAACAAGATAATAAGAAGAATCTTTCTTGTTGCATCCACTTTTGTACACACATTTGTACCCAACTTTTATTTTGTGTATGTACACAAACAAACGCAACAAAATGGGGGTGAGTAAGAAATTACAATCATACTTGATGTACATACTCTTGTACACACCTTGTACACATCATGTTTGTGAAGCCTTTTTTTTGTCTTTGAACTCGGTTCACAGACAATATTTTGTTTGTGCAAAACATTGTCTGTGAATCGATGTTCACAGACAAAAAAAAAAGCTTTCACAGACATAGATGTGTACAAAAGAGTGTATAAGAGTGTGTAAAAACATTTTATGAAGAAATTAACAATAACCGTTTGATGACCAAGCCAGGTATTTCGCAGAAACGGCGTTCACACTGGCGGCGCACGTGATCGGGATCCGGGCACGCGGCGAAAAGAGGGAGTACTGGATCAACGACGGAATCTACGGATCGTTTAGGCCAACGCTATACAACTCATCGTTTGTGACAATCAAGCCGGAGTTCTGCACGTCCGTCGACGAGCCATCCATGATATGGCCCTCCGTCATTTACGGGCCGTCGTGCGATTCTCTGGACGAAGTGACGGCGACGGAGATAAAGTTGCCGGAGCTGCAGCTCCATGATTTGCTCGTGTTCACTAACATGGGTGCCTATTCCAGATGCGCTGGCACAAAGTTCAATGGGTTTGATACCATTTCTGTCCCTACCTATATTGCATACACCTATTAATTTATACTTTGATTGATAATAATGATTATCATCATCCAAGCAATAAATAATTAATTAATTGATTAACAGTTATGATAGTTGCTACATCTTTATGATTCATATTCATATATACTACGGAGTAGCATAATTTAATTTGAGAAGATGTAAACAGGTACAGTGAATTAACATTTTTATTTTTATTGATTTCGTATTATGAAATTATGATATGTTTACATCATAAATCTGAATGAACTGAATAAGTTAATCAAATTCTTTGGTGGCTCTCGCTCTGAGAATGTGTAGGTTGTGTTGTTATAATCATTCCACCTAGCGGTAAACTTTGACAAAGGTATAGAGAATGATGGATGCAACAACTGTTAATGAGCACAGCAAGTTGAGTGCTACAGATGATGATGTCACGCACTCTTCCTCTCCTTCCCTCTTCTTCCCCCACCATTCACTTAACTTCCTCTGATGTTTTTGGGTAGTTATTCGCATTACTTCTCCGAATTTCGCTTTTTCTGAAACAACTTCTGTTGGCTTCCTCTCTGGTGCTACGTTCTTGGCCTGTTGTGAGTTGTGACAGTAGCAAATGACTCAATAATTAGTTTGACCTTTTAGGATCAAACCTCATGTTTTAATTACTTGATCATTGAAGTAAGCATACCAGTTTCCTCATGTGGAGATTGTAGAATAGCTCAAGGTATCGCCCCTTTGCATGTTTTTGCCTAGAGTGCGTCTCCCTCCAACATCTGTACGCTGATCCCATGTTCAGCACTTTCTCCGCATAAATCTGCCATGTAAAACTGCATAGGGAAAATTATGATATAAGATTGACTACTTGTCTAGTCATATTGTCAAGTCAATTGATCATTCATGTCTTGATGTATGCATATATTTTGTTACCATTCGTTTATGCGCTCTAAAGCTTGTGTAGATATCTTATCCCAATAAGCTCCATCAGACTTGCATTTCTCAAAGAAGTCAGCGATCTTATTGCTTGACTCGTCCCCATTGTAAGGATCAATATGAAAGCCTGAGGTTCCATCGACAATTATCTCCGCTGGCCCCCCTTGGTTGGTGGCAAATGTGGGGAGCCCACAGTTCATTGCTTCAATCACGGTTAGCCCGAAAGCTTCATACAAAGCGGGTTGTATGAATGCCCCCTTTGTGTCTGCAATGGTTCTGTATAGCTCTCCATTTCTGTTTCTGTCTGTTTGGGCTGCTATCCATCTTATCTGTCCTTTGAGGTTGTACTTGGCTATTAACTCATGCATCTTCTTGATTTCTGAGGCTTCTTCTCGGTCTTTTGATTTTGATGGATCGAAGAATGCCCCCACGATCACAAGGTTTACCAAGTCTCTCAGTCTTTTGTTTTTCCCATACCATTCAGTCAATCCTGTAAGATTCTTCACTGTGTCTAGTCTTGCCATTGAGAATATTATTGGTTTCTTCTTGTCCTCCAAAACTCCACTTTTGGAAATTCAAGAAAAAAAAAAATCCTTAGTATGAAGACAAATCTTTGGTTCCAAGAGGACTGATTCAACATAGTCCATAGGTATAAAAGCCCAAAGGAATTGGTAAAGAATCTGTTTTAATTTTTGTAGGAACAACAGGGTGTTCATTGGATGGTTTGAATTTAAAAAATTTCAAACGGATAACCAAACCTAATTACTTTATTACTTGGGTTTTGAAATTTCGATCTTAATTGGATTTTGTCCATTTTGATAGCTTTTGTCGGTTAAGCCATTTTTTATTCCTAAACCTTAAGTGAAAAACCAAACACCCTATGGTTCTAAGTCTAAACCTTAAACCGAAGACCAAACCATCTATAATCGGATCGGTTTTTGGTGGTTCAGTTTTCATTTGACAAACTTTTATGACATCCTAAGTAGTAGTATAACCACTCCAAGAATGAACACATCTAGAAGTTACAATTTAAATATTTAAATGATCACTTCAGGGTAGGCAGTGGGCCTGACTAGATGAGCTGACTCCATTGAGAGTGCTTTTAAAGTGAGTGTTTTTCGCAACATTAGATTATCTCATTAGAAGACTCACATGTGTTCGTTAGTATCCCCATTTTTGTAAAGTAAATCCTCAATTTCACGGTCAAAGGAGGTGAAACGTTGCTCCCTGTGCGCGAATGAGAAGTAGACGGACTGATCTGCCCCTGGGGCCACAATGTTGAACTTGGGATCAAAGACATTGATGCCAGAAACAACTCTGCATAGGCCTGGCATTGTAAAGGCCATATGGCTCTCATACTGTCCAGGTTTTGTTTTGCTGCAATTATGACCAAATTAGTTTTGACAGCAGAATTCCCCGTACACGCCACTTTAAATAAAAATATGTTCAGATTAAACAAACCTTCCAGCGATTTCTTGAGATGTGCTTGCAATAACAAAGTCAGAGGCATTCATTGCTATCAAGTCTGCTGTGAATTGGGCAGAAAAGTGGTATTTCGGGTCCAAGTCTTTCCACTTCACATCAGAGTCTTCATATTTTGTTTTCTCCAATGCATGAGCAATTGTTGCCTAATAAATAGTGTCTATTATAATCAGGGATTCTTGAAGAGTTGATAATAATTTGTTCTTACTGTACCTGTGTAACTCCAAGTTTGGTGGACATGAGAGATGCAACCAAATTTCCATCAGTGTAGTTTCCAATTATGAGGTCTGGTTTACATTTCATCCTCTCAACAATCTCGGTGGTAGCATCCTGTTTTTTGGGACATAAAATTATGTTAACAATGTGATTAAGACTAACTCAATCCCATGGAGAGCCAAAATTATCATACACTTACTAAAAAGTTCCTATTTAGCCACAAGAGCTTACCTGGGAAAACCTCTCCAAGTATGGATAAATATCAAATCTAGAAACCCATTCCTGCAGAATTCCTCCATTGTCTGTTCTAAATGGGACCCGCAGAATGTGAGAATGAGATGTGCCGAATATAGGCTCGAGCTCTTGGTTGCACTTCGTCCCTCTGGCATCCGGTATAAGGCGAGTCACCTGCCCATCATTAGGACTGAGTTTAGTTTTAAATATCTTCTTCAGATGTTTTTCATGATCCCTCGAATTTTATATTCAGAACAAGGGAAAAGTACCAAATCAATCCTCAAACTAACATCAATAGTGCAAATCACCCCCTAAATTATAAAAATGTGCAACCAAGACCTCCAACTCGGCGATATAATGCAAATGACCCCTTAAAAAAATCTGCAACCAAATTCTCCAATTGGGCGATATTGTGCAAATGACTTTAATTTCCTAGGCGGTATTTACCATTTAAAGCTGATGTGCACCAATTTATTAAAAAAATTATGCCAGTTAAGTTTCATTTATCCACCTCAATATATTTGACTTAAACCTTTTATTAACTGCTTATAAAACGAGGTTGAACATGCTATATCATGAAATGCTCGTCTGTTTCAACGAATGACTGAAGACCCGTTGGGGATCTAAAGAACTAAACATAGTACCCCCCACTTCATGAAGGAAGAGACTACCGATCAAGGAAGCATTTAGGGGGTGAGTTGCAGTATTGATTGATGTTAGTTAGAGGGGTGATTTGATAGGAAAAATTACTTACTACAAGAATGTTGGGTTTAAAATCTAATCCTTGCTGCTCAATTCTTTGCAGCATTTGTTTCTCCAAGGCTCTTACTTGATCGAGAATGTAAACCACCTATATGATTTGACGGGGCAACAAAAGAAATCAAACCATAAGATTGTGTTACTATGATGCTAATCTAAACATCAAAAGATAAAAAAAAAAAATCAAAAGATGATTTTGTTTTTCAAACATCAAAAGATGATTCTTGGGATAGACCTGGCCTCCGGTATCAGGCAACCCAAGAACTTTTTCTTGGCCAAAGTAGCCGTGAATGGACAAGATCACAATGTTGAATACAGATGGCAGTCTGCTGAAGAATGATTCAACGCCGTCAGTGCCCAGCCCTTCAAGAATTTCAGAAAGCATTCCCATTGTCTCTTTCACTCTCCCTGCACTATCCCCCCATCCTTTCATAAACCCCATTTCCCTTAGCCTGTAGGAATTTGGAACACAATGAGCTGAATAGGAATGCAAAACTACCTAAATTACATAAGACTTCTACTTTATCATCAAGAATAAATCTCAGAAAAAAAAAGATGATGAGGAAATACTGGTGCTCAAAATTTTTGTAAGGCGTGTTGTTTGGTTGATCACGCAGATGACGTTTAGCTTCTATTAACGCATCATTAAGCTTTTCCACTGTATCAAGGGTCTTATTGATCATAAGCTTCTGCAATGGAGTAAAAAAAGAACCCGGAGTGCCAGATAATTAAATAAAAATTTAAAAAAAAGAAATACTAAGTTCGTATAACATAATAAATCTGAGTAATATTATCCAAGCATTTTTTGTATTCGAACCTCTCCATTATGATAAAGAGATTGAAGGTAGTCAAGCAAAGGCTTTGAATCTTCAAGGATTTCACTAAATTTGTATGACATGGATTTTGAGATAAAGTTGAGCCCCTTTCCTATGGAGCCAGGTCTGAGAGGATTAGGGTAGTCAAATGCCCCAAAATTAACTTCCAGTGCATTTTCATCCTTCGCCCTGTTCATGCATTACATCAACTTTTAATTAGTCTAATATCTTACATGTTGATTTGTATTTAATTATTTGATTGACGTGTATATATATGTATGTGTGTATCACTGTATCTATAGCCCTGGTTCATGAACGAATGTATCATATACTCCTCTTTTGTTTATTACAATCACTTCAAAATTATGTTTATTGTATGTATAACTTTTATTTTTTCCAGGAAAAATTGACAGGCAACTCTGTCTAACTATTTTCTATCTTCTTCAAATATTGACTTTGTCATTTGATGTGCATATTATCAAGAATGATTCTAAACTTCTTCAAAATATGTTATGAAAATAGCTATTTATTTTTCTCAGGTCTTAAGTTCAAATAGGTCAAAATTACATTTAAAGATTTTATAACAACATGATAGGTGTATTAAGCACTAAACAGAAATAAAGTCGCTCCAGGGTCGAGAGACTTATAAAATAAGACTACAATTGTAAACAAGAGTGTAAATTAAGCACCCCTAAATATATTTTTTGGTTCCACCACTGGCATTGCCACTTACCAGTTACCACTAGAAGTTAGAGGTGAGATTAACTAAATAATAAAATCTCTGAAATGTACCAGTTTTCATCAAACACCATTTCTTTGAAAGTTAGATATTCTTTAGCAGTGGTTCTCTCAACAGACAAGTCCATGGCATTGACTTTGAAGTAGTCCCAACTTCCAGGGTTGTGTCTGCATGAAAACGCAACATTATGCGATTTATGCCACTCAACAGCAACATTAAGCGGCACAACAGCAGCCTCCTGAAATTAGCCAGCACAATGGTTTATCTTCTTCATTTTACTTTCTTTGTGGGATTATTATAAATGCAAATTATAACCACTTCACCTGTGCAGAACTCAGAATCTTGCCTATTTTTCCCTCCAAAAAATTGGCTCTTTCATCTTTGTTAGGCACAGCTTGATCTAGCTCTTCTGATAATTCTTTCAGCTTCAAGAGCCTCTTTCCTGATATCAGCCTTCACACACAATCCATTTTTAATCAAAGAAAAGAAAGAAAGAAAATGCCAAAGGTGGGCAGTGGTTCAAGATTTGATTAGTTTTATCATTTAACTTCAGAGATAATGGTTGGTAAGAATTATGATTTGAAAAAACAAACACTATGGCACCTGTCAAAAAATTTCTTAGCGTGAGCGTCGTTTTGTCCGATGCCACCGAGCATGCCATTGACCGCATGTGTAGTCATCTTGAATCTGTCCAGCTAGTAGCAGAAGACAGAGATGGGAATGGCTTCTCTAGCTACTCTCTAAGACTTGTGCATTTGAGTTATGAGAAGGTAGGGAAGCTTTTATAGGGAGGGAGATGAAAGAAGGGTGTTGTTTATGTGAAAGGGGGGATTCCTTGGTGCTTAGTGCGGAAAAGCAGAATTTAGAACAAGAAAGGAATTTCTGAAATGGATGGAATGTGACTTCCCTTCCCTGTTAGTACTGTTATGATTTAATAACAGAACTGGGAAGGACATATTCTTTTCTTTTGGATGGACTAATCTAGTTAAACTTTGTGGGCAGGGTTGGGGCTTTGTATGGAATAATAAATGAATATTATATCTAATCCCGGGAATTTTTCCCAATTATTATATTTTCAGAGAATTTTCCCAATTAAATGAATATTACTCCGTAATTACTCTTGGCTAATTAACTTTTACTCATATCCAAGGAACTTTCCCAATTATTATATCTTTTTTTCCCCAATTATTATACCTAATACTCCATTTCCATCATTTGCAATGGAGCCAGAGATTCACTATTTTTTGGCTTAAGAATATGATGCAATAAAACAAAATAGCTTACTAAACTGTCTACGCTTTTATGTTATGAAACATCAATCAGTTCATGCAATTTTTGACACGATTTTCACTTTGGATCATCCGGAAACAATGTCTAATACTCCGGCACATGGGAATATACAAAAGAAAAAGTAACAAATTAACATTATACGAAGTATGTAATTATCTGCGTAAATACTAGATAGACTTATATAGATCTAATTAGATAAAAAAATCAATTCAAGTGAAAACTTTAATACTCCATCCGTTTCTAAAAGAAACTCACACTTTCCTTTTTGAGATGTTTCAAAAACAAAGTCACACTTCCCTTATTTCCTTATTTGGCAAAGAAATCTACACCCAAACAGTGCCAAACAGTGTGAAACAGTGCCAAACAGTGTCTAAACAGTGTTTTCTACAGTAAAGTCAATTTATTTCATTAATAACCGTGAAATCAAACCATGACTTTCTTTTGGAAACGGATGGAGTATTCTACTTATAAAAATATTAGAGAAAAATACGGAAAAGGTACATGTCATTGGGTGCATTTTTGGATAGAGCTTTGTGTTTTATTTCTTAACAAAGTAGTCTTGGTGTTTTGATTCAATTATTAGTGCATGAGAACGTCGTCTAACGCCGTTAGAACTACCAAAGGAAGTCAATAAACAGTAACTCGGATTTTCAAAAGTGTCAGCAAATTAAAAGAAAAGTGCTGGGAGGTGCACCTCGTCAATGAGACCTCAAGATTTTCTTTCTTTTTTATTATTTCTAGCCATCCTTCTTGTCGTAGAGTCTATCGGAAAAGTGATATCACTGAATTATTTTAAAAAATAATCCACAAAGAGTTGAAAAAATCCAAAAAAGATGGCTTGGAGGTTACCTTAACGAGACACACTTTCTAGTATTTTTCTTTTAATTTTCGAACACTTTTGAAAATCGGAGTTACTTTTTCTCGTCTTCTCCCGACAATTTGTAACAACGTTAGACGCCAAACCCCGCTCGTGATAAAGGAATCAAAACATGAGGACTACTTTGTTAAGAAATGAAACACAAACTTCTATTTGAAAACGCGTCCAACCACATGTACTTTTTTCTTATTTTTCCCAAAATACTATGACAACTCTTTGGATTTGATTGTGATTTTGAGAAGTGAGTTATTTAAATAATCATAGAGAAAGTAATAGTGATAAGATACATTGGTGGTTTAAAATTACAGGGATTTCCCAAAAAAGTGTATTAATTAATAAAACAAAAAGAGTTTCAAGCATCTCTTCTCTTACTTCCAACTTTTATCTTGAGATTATTTAATAGGTGACAACTCCGGTACCCATTTAAAAAATTGGGTACCGTACCTACCACTCACTTGATTGGTTCAAATTATTACATCATTTTTAATTTAGATTTAAATAATTCAACTACATCATTCTGATTTGTCCATGTGGACAAAGGTATGGTACCTTAAGGCCTTGTTTGGTTCAAAGGAGGGGAGGGAAGGGGAGAGTCAAGGAGGGAATGGAAGGGAAGGGGAAGGAAGAATTTTGATAAAAATTTGTGTTTGGTTGGAGGAAATGGGAGGAAAGGTTTAATGAAAATATTTTTGCAATTTACTTTTATTTTAAAGCTTACTTAAAAAAATAGATACATGTCTAACTATTGTGAATATTACTCCTATGGTCATGAGTCATAATTTTATTTTATTTGATTTTTTACTTTTTTAATTTTATAATTTTTCATTTTTCAGTTTGGAATTTTTAATATTTTATTTTTATTTTTAATTTTTTTTATTTTTAAATTTTAAAATTTTTAATTTATAATTTATTAATTATTTAATTTTTAAAATTTTTATTTTTATAATTTTTAAAATTTTTAATCTTTAAAATTTTAAAATTTTTAATTTTTTAATTTTTCAAAACCTCTTGTTTTTTACCTTTTTATATTATAATGTTTTGTTCATTCACGTAGGAGATGGATAGTTTGTGGTTATCGACACGTTTCCTCCGAAATACCCCGATTTGGAGGGGTTTAGAATGAGAGAAAGTGAAGGATTTTGAAAGCCTTACACTTTCCTCCCCTTCCCCCCTATTTCCTTCAACCAAACACAAACAAATCCTCCACTTTCCTCCCATCCCCTCCGAAACTCTCCAACCAAACGGGGCCTAAGGGTACCATAGAATATACCTATTTAATATACTAATCTCAAGTATCTACTTACACTATTTTAAGTCTCTTCTAAAAGATCAAATAAACCCTTCTATTATTTTCAATCCGTCACTTAAGCCTCTATACTAAAACAATGCCATATAAGTATGTTTACTTTAACAAATTGATCAATTTGGCAATTTAATCAACTTTTGACATGTATAGCAGGTTTATATATTAAAACTTTCTAAAAACTTGCTAAAATTTGAAGAAAATATAGATAAAAAATTGTTAAAATTTTCAAATTATCAAAGTCAATTTTTTTAAATTATTGAAAATATGTGTATATTCTACATCTATTTAAAAGGTTTTTAAATTTTTTAATTTATGTTTTTCACATTTTCACATTACTTTTTCGTTTTTTATATTTGTTTTAATGCTTTTGAATTATTTACCTATTTTTTACATTTATACTATTTTTATATTATTATTACATTATTTTTCAAATTGATGCGAATTTATATAAGGTTTATCGATAGTCCTAATTTATTTTTAAAAAAATAATCTGCTATAGCAGATCAAAATGGCTTGGTTGATTATAATTTACAAGTAAACATACTAATAGGATGGAATGAATAAAGTACTCGGTAATAAGTATTAATTTGTCCCCATTTTTTTTGACAATTACAAATTTAATTCATTGCATTATTAATAATTTCAAGAATACAATGAGTAATATGTTGCAAATAGTACAAGAAGTCATGTGCTCACATCATGTCCCTCATCAAATATGGTTGCATCAACGTTTCAGCATATTCCCACTTGGAGGACTACACCTAGACTCACTTCTGGTCATAGATGTGCTATTAGCATGTCTTTGGCGTACACTCTCCCACGCATGCAATACATCAACTCCCCTTCTGATGACTTCCTGGGGCGTTTCTTGAAGTCCCTCCCAATAACAATTATTCCCGCGACGCCAAATAGGATTTTTACTTGGACTGTAATTTGCTGGTCTGGTCTGGTCTGGTCTGGTTTCTTTGTATTTTTATAACTATCTAAGTCTGGTCTGGTCTGATCTGATCTGGTTTGGTTTGGTCTGGTCCGGGAGGAATTACGGTCCAAGTAAAAACATCCATACTCCGCCTTTAGTACTATATCAGACAAGAGTTCCCAAAATCCCACCTTTCTCCAACAACATGCACTCTCCCGGCAATCCCAGAAGACATGCCGATTATTCTTCAGGCAGTTTCACAACTAACACATAAACCTGGACAACTTACCCCTTCTGCCCGAAGCCTATTTCTATTAGGGAGGCAATCCCGACAAATCCTCCAAAGAAAAACTCGTACCTTTGGTGGAACTTGCGACTCCCATATCCTCTTTCACGGCTCTTGTACTTTAAGATGATCCGTGTTCACCATCTTTTCCATGCAAAGTCTGTATGCGATCTGTCACGCCCCGAACCTACCCGAACACGTCAACAACCCACCGTACAGTAAAAATAGTCAACCGCAGTCCAACACATCCATACTATACAAGACTTCTTAAATATCATTCACACGTAGCACATCCATAAACAAACATAATGTAAAATATTCATTAAAGCAGTGGAAACATTAATACAAGTGTTCAAGCCACACTTGTCATACTTAGGCATACAAGCCCCCAAATAATTATTCAAAACGGAGGAAGCACGAATAACGTCTTCTCTCCAAGATCCTTCCCGAAACAACGGGTACTTGTAGCAAGCTCATCTTCTACCTGAAACTGTGAGGTGGCCTCCCCCGTGAAGGGGAGGTCAGTTCTTTGAATCATTTGAAAAGTACATCGATAACTACATTGAATATAATCAATGTTTTAATTTCTAAAACACCTCAAAATAGAGTTTTTTTTCGAATTAATGCAAATTAATTAATTAATTAATTACGAAAATAATGTTGGGTTAAAAGTATTTACCGATCTACTGCTGGGTTTAACCATGATCGGGTAAGTCGCCAAACGATTGGGTGACTTATAAGTCGCCTTCCGGTTTGGCGACTTATAAGTCGACCAACCGTTTGGCGACTTACCCATGACTATAAACAAGGTCTCCTTTCTCCTATTTAGGGGTTACGAACCAGATACAACACATTACAATAATCCAATATTCATAACACAGTAGTCATCTAATATTATTCATAATCGAACACATCAATACATCATAAAAGAGTTTACAAAATGAAATACGCACTACTACATTTTTAGACCTAATGTAACATTAATGATGTAACATATATATAATAGTGTTACATATTTCTCTAATGTAACACTTTTTAGACCTAGTGTAACACTTTCTAGAAGTATAAGTGTTACATTAGGTACTATAAAGTGTTACAATAGGTCAAATGCAACACCAGCAAATGTAATGGTAAA